AGAGGTATTTTCACATATGGGAAGAAAATGCCCACTTGTTTCTTATTTAGGGTTCTGCTGTTGTTGTTGTTTGCATATTGCGTAAACAGTTAATAAGTGGTAAAGAGGTTATTGTACATTAGCATATTGCTTGAAATGATAATTTGTATTCTAGTTGTCACCCTTTACCAGCATTTATATTCTTGTAAATAACTTTTTTTTTTGATTCATCATTTATTAAATTTAAGTTCGAATTTTTTATTGTTTCAGTGCTTGTTGATCATGGTGACACCACTCTTGTCGGTCAATTGGAAAGAGCATTCCAACATACTAAGTACAGTGTGTACAGATTTATTTGACAACTATTTTGTTGATTGTACAATAGCTGCTGAGAAACAGAGTCTAAAAGCTCATAGACTGATTTTGTCTGCATGCAGCCCATATTTTCATGTAAGTTAAATTTTAAAATTCATGATGGTGAATGTAATATTTTATAAATAAGATTGTATATTTTTATTTTTCATTCAGTATTTTTAAAAATTAGGACGTTTTGTGTCTTTGTACTTTTTTCCTTACACTTTGCAATGTCTTGGGCCATGGTAGAATCTTAGGTTCTTGATGTCTTCTGCTAAATGACTATTTATTATCAAAATATTCTCCAAGACATAACGACTTCCAATGTCTCAGTCTTATGTTTGTAAGAAAATTATTCTTTTCTGGTTGGAGAGATTACAATGATAGCAATTCTTTTTTATTGTAGTCAAATGCACTGGAACACTGTCTGGACTATTTTGTTCTTCTGTTCCTTTTCAAACCTTATAATAATTTTAATTGAAGACCTCTCATAGGTTCTCACAAAATGAACTTGTGGAGAAAAACAGGAAGATTTTGAGAATCTTAGTCAGAAAATTAGATTGTAAAGAACTTGGTAGACAATGAACAATGTGACCATGATTTTACGTTTTTATGGAAATGATAATAAAAAATAAAGTTGTTTACAGTGTGTAAAAGTAGTCATACATACAAAACATAAGTTTAAATAGTTCACTTTCTATTATGTTATTACTGACTGAAGTGGCTTGGGGTCACTGCAATACCTGAGACTGGGATATTTTAGGTTTTGAGTCCTGACTTTGGCAGGACCTCTTTTTGTCACTGACTTGAGAAATAAGGTGAACGGGAAGAGAATTCTAGTGGCCAGGTGCTCAGATCAGTAGTTTTCCATGGTTTCTCCCATCAATACCAGGCGAATGCTAGAGCAGTACTGTAACAAACAGGCCAAGGACCACATGTATTCTTTCCTGCATCTTCCTTGTTCTATCCTCAGTCATTACTTGCACTCACATGATTATATGCACTATACTACCACCCTTGTTGGGGGACCAGTCAGCTGCTTAGAGGTTGTCCGTTTGGGGTGGTACAACGGCGGCGACTGAATGGGGAATCCTGTGTGAGCAGAGACGTGGATTGGCACCAGATCTCGCCTTCCACACGGGAAGATCATTACCGTCTCCTAAAAACATGCACTACACTTATGGGACCAAGTATCATATCAGTTGACACACCCAGAAACACTAAGTAATCAATCAATCAATCTCGTTATTAACATTAGAAATTGAAAATGTAAAGTTCATCAACTCCCCAAAATGTCTCCTTAATTTAGAAGTATGTGATGCTCATGCTAAACTCAAAAATATAGAAAATTCTCTCCATGATCTTGAGAAAATTATTGAAAGAATCCTACTTAATGAAATGCAAATTATTATTTATGATACTCAAATATATGTTTTGGACAAGATTTACAAAGTAAATATCAACAAACTTAATAGTATTTATCTTGGAACTTACAGTGTTCAACAAAGGTCTTTAGACTGTAAAAATAAATAGCTTGTTAACTTATTGATTATAAAGGTCGGCAGAATGGTGCATGCTTAAGGCTAGTTCTTCTGAACATATGTAATTAAATTAAAAAATTAAAGAAAATTCAACGTATCAAATGATAAATTGAAAAATTCTCTAAACATAATGCTCTTACACTGTTATTTGTTTTGACAAATCACAGAGTGAGTGCTGATTTAAGAAGCATTGTGTGTTTGGGAAAGGCTTTTGTTCTGAAGTGTTATGAGAAGCCAGTAACTTCCTTAGCAAGAACAAGAAAAGTCTTATTGAACTTACAGACAAACAAATCAAATTTGGAGACCTAAAAGTGTGCCTTTTCAAGTGAATCTAGTTGTGATTATTTTTGAGTTTTTGCTGACATTCTTCATCCTAATTTTCATAAGAACTTTGAACAGGTAGTACTGTATTGCATTTCATAATTAATTTTTGTTAACAGATGTTATTCAGTGAAGAAAGAGAGAAGCACCCAATCCTTATCCTTAAAGATGTATCATTTGATGCACTAAAAAATGTGATTGATTTTGTGTATCATGGGGAGATCCAGATTCCAAAAGAAGATCTAAAGGCATTTTTGGAACTTGCTGAGTCTCTGCAGATCAAAGGCCTAAATGATTCTTCAATGAAAGATGTAAATTTACAAAAATAATTAATAATAATATAAAAATAATGATAATGATTACTCAAATGTCTACTACTACAATTTTTAATCTTGCTAGTAAAATGGTCACAATAACCAGGCATTATTATTATATTTATTTCAGGGATGTGAGCTCTTTATTTATGATGCTAGTGGAGATGCCTGTCAAGGTCCATCCTCTGATAATCAGAAAGACACCTTTGAAGTTCAAAGTACTAGTGCGAGCCATGATAGAACTGAAAGTTCATTTGAGCAACCTCCTCTTTACCAATTATATGACTGCCCAGATACAGTGCAGATAAATTCTTCTCCTTCATTTGAAGAAAGAAATAGGGCTCCTGACAAAGAAAAATCAATACTAGAGATGGTATTGTCTCAGGAAAAGAATACTCCTGTCTTGCCTAGCGTGAATTACGAGGGTGCAGAAATAAAAGTCAAAAAAGAACCAATGTGTGTTGTGTTGAAATGTGAACAAATAGATGAGTGTGATGAACTTCTGCAGGAAGATGATACAGAGGAATCGTGCTTATTTCCAGGACGCAAGTCTCGTATTTGTGATGCTAGCAGAGACATGCATCAAAATCCGTCCTGTGATGACACATTTCACGTTCAAAGTACTAGTAAAAGATGTAACAGTACTGAAAGTTCTTCTGAGCAACCTCCTCATTCAGATAGCTGCACTGACACAGGGCAGACAAACTCTTCTCTTGCATTTGAGGAAAGCAATATACCTTGTAAGAAGAAAGGATCGCTATTAGAAATGGCACTGTCTCGGTCACACTATGAACCTATGTTGCCTGGCATGTCGAATCTGGACACACAAACAACATTGAAAGAAGAGCCATTACGACCTGAGGGCGTTTTTGTGAAAAGCGAACAACCAGATGAATGTGATGAAAATATGCAGGAAGATAATGCAGATGATATGGATGAATGGGGACAACCCATATTTACTGAACAAAATCTGGACCAATACTCTAGTAAGTAAAAAATTCAATAAATAAACTGAATCTGAAAAATGAACTAAAACTGAATGAAAATGAAATAAACACTTAATTTAAATGAAATAATACAATTTACTTTATTTAAAGTAATCAGCAATTTTCATTCATGCAATGGTATTCCAATGCTATTGTTTCTTTTAAGGGGAGTCAAAGAAAAATCTAAATTATTGAATTTTTGGGGGATTTTAACATTTTCTAAATATCGAGAGACTTATGAATAAAATGTTATGTACAGCATTGTGAAATACTTTCTTTTAACTCTTGTTATTTTCTTCATCTGCTTATCTCAAAATGAAAAGTCATTTTGTTTATGAGTTTCTCTTTTACATTTTTATCTTTTGAAAGAATTCATCAAAAAGGTCCTGGATTTTACAAAATGCTAGAGAATACTTTGTTGATAACACTGCAGAACTTCATCTTCTGTGATTACTTATGATGTTGTTGTTATGATGAGGTGATACCAAGACGAGGTGACTGGTTTTATAGAAGGATTAATTTTGATGCTGAATTCTGACAAATTGAATTTTGGAAGACATTTGTCTCATTATCTTTGAAACTTCTCAATTTTTAATTAATAATTTTCAAATTTTTCAAGGAGTTTCTAGTAAATTCTAGTACGTTTCATATTTGATGATTTCTGTATAAAAATGCAGAATTAATAAGGTATAATTTTTTACTTTTACTTCAAATTTGATTTAAATAACAAAAGGGTCATTCTATGCAAAAGTGTAGATTTAAATGACATGTCACCTTCAAACACGAAAATATTTTGGGATATTGTTGTCCATGATCCTACACTGTTGAGGTACAATATTAAAATTATCTAACTGATTGTTCAGCAATAATGCACTCCTAAAATCTAAGACTACTTTTAAACACTCCTATATTTAACATTTCTAAAAATTCTAAAAATTTGTGAGGGTATATAAGATACATGTGAAAGGGATACTATTCAACCTGCTGAAAACTTTCATTGTTACAGCCGCATCTGCTAGTGTGGCAGCTGATGGACTACTCAGTCATAGGTGCCTTTGGGAGACCAACTTCCCTAGGCACTTCAGTTGAAATTGATACAGGTTTTACTGAAAGTTTGTTCTCACTAATGACATAAATTTCTCATATAGATTTTTTGAAAATTAAAATGGGCAATTTTTTGGGGAGTCTTCCTACAACTATACTATTGAAGATGGAAATAATTTCCTTAATGAAATTTGTTCCAGGTACCTCTGTACCTGAGAATGATGAAAACTTGTGAAATTTCATATTTTTCAATTCTGATTGTGTCATATGCTCTGTTTTATTCTCTTTTAAATGCTTCAAATCATTTCTTGCTATGTTTCTTAGTTTTAGAGAAAATCTTTTTTTCGAAGCGAGTGTTATCTGTCAAGCCCTTAGTGATTGAAACTTTATATTCATTTTCTTGAATTGGGAATTTTCAGCACATTCGTGCATGTTAAACATAAACTAGTGAAGATAATAATATAATTCTTTTTGCAGCATGTAATCCATAATTATCTTCAGTGAATGAACTACAATAGTTAATATGTCACTAAAAGTTTCAGATTTTTATCTGGAATAAATTTATAAACCATAATTTTTCTCTAGTAATCAAATCCTGACTTACCTTTACTATTCTTGTTCAAATACCAGAATGTTCAATAGTGATTAATTTAAAAAAAGTATTATCAAAATATAACAATTTGATTCAGAGTTCAAACATTATGTTTGAAGAAAAACCTTCATGTTTGCCAATTATTTATAAACAAATTAAACAATGTTTTTAAAATTATTTGATTCCTAAAAGCATAAAGAAATCAAATGTACAGGGGAAAACAATGTAGACCCAAAATTCTAGATTTGTTTTCTCATCTTTAAATGAGATTTTGTCTTTAAGAAAAAAATTATAAGTAGTTTTCATGTAATTATTGTGCCCTTTTTTTTTTCCTTCAAAATTATTTCCAATAGTTTTCTTTAAATTTTCTCAATTTTGAGAAAACAATTGCCTATATTTTGCACAAAATTGCACGGAAATACTTAAATTTTTGGAAAGTTGAACATGATCTTATTTAAAGATCCGTATTTAAGGACGAGATTTCATTAAGGAAAAATATCTCTTTAATATTATAATTGTAAGAAGACATCCCAAAAACATTGCCCATTTTCTATTTTCAAAAATCTATGTCATTCCAGTCAATGAGAACAAATTTTCCGTAAAACCAGTATCAAATTCAACTAAGTACCTTAGGAAGTTGTTCTCCAAAAGGCACCTATGGCCGAATAGTCCATCAGCCACCATGCGAGCAGATACATCTGTGACAATGAAAGTTTACAGCGGGTTGAATACTACCCCTTTCAGCTCAGGTGAGATTTTTAATGATAATTGAATGATATGATAATAATAGCTTCTATAACATTCTGAATGCAATATTATTACAGATTTTCAGATGTATCTTATATACACTCACAAATTTTTAGAAACGTTTATAACAGGACAAAAAAATTTAAAGGATATAGGGGTGTTCACCAGTAGTCTTAGATTTTAAGAGTGCATTGTTGTCAAACAACGAGTTTGAAAATTTTAATATTGTACCTTGAGGATGTAGGCATCATGGACAACAATATCCCAAAATATTTTCAAGTTGGAGGAGTCATGTCATAAAATTTTTTTTTATTGGAATGGCCCAAGTTTCTTCTAGGTGCCTACAAACATTCGAAATATGTTTATTGTCTGTCAATGATGATAAATGTACACGGACAGACATACATTCATAGGATACAGCAGTAAAATGAAGATGGCATATTAGGTACAACCGTAGGATTGAAAGTGTTGAAACATTTCTACAAAGCTGCTCCTAAAATTTTACGGCACTAGGTACATTAGTTTCTGAGATAATGGGTCAAATGTACAGACAAATAAACAAAGAGATGGGGCATTATGTCTCCCCTTAATATTCTTCACAGTAATTTCAGCTTTAGGTGTTTTTTATTAGTATAAGTGTTTGTGATTTGTTTGGATGTTTAAAATATTCTGAGTGTGTTTTTTAGAAAAGAGTTTTTTCTTTTCTTTTTCTTAATTTTATTTCTTTCTAATTTAACAGCAGCTTACTGATGCTGATGTCTTTATTTTTTACAACATTCTTGTCAAGTATTCTCTTTAGCGTATTTTTTATCTGGAGACAATTCAATAGATTACTATTACTCATTTTCAGTTTGGCTATTATTTCATTATTTATTTCTGTAGAAATTCAAACTGGCGACCCATCATAAGTACTGTTGTGGAATAATTTTCATTACAGTTTTGAAGCAATGTTTCCATTTTTTAAATCAGTTTTTCCTCAGTCAAATGTTGTTGATTGCAATGCATAAAAACAGGAATTGTTTTTACTTTTCTGAACCTTATTTCATTAACTATATATCATCCCAAGGTATAGAGAAATTATTTGTGAAATTTTTCCTTTTCCTTACTGAAATGTGGTAAAATGTTATTTTAGGTGTTCTGGTCCAAGCTTTCATTGTGTGAATATAAGTAGCCCTAAGAGCATCCTATGCTAAGCCTTCATGTTTGGGAGAACACCCACAAATGCATATACAGTGAAAGTACTTCTTGCAAATCTATTCTGAGACATTTAATTTACCAAAATCATTTTTCAGTAGTGTCTCTCCACACACTAATTGTGGGAGCATTCGTTTTAATTAAAATGGTAATGACACATTCCAAACATGTTATTAAAAGTAGCATGCTCCACAATTTTTTTATTCATCTGGAAGTAAAGTTGACATTATTTATCGTATTTGATATGGAACAAAAAAATGGAATTATCAAGATTTTCTCAAAAATTGCTTCAAGTTTTGTCTTAAATTTTTTGTTTGGATAAAGCAAAACATGCTTAATAATACACACCTTTTATTTCTGAATTTTTGCTAATTACAAATGTTAAATTTCTTTAAACCTCTGGTACACCTTCATTATGTAAGGCAGGTAGTTGATCCATTCTACTATATAAGGAATTTTTAATGAAATGTAATATTTTTCTTCATCTTAACAGTTATTAAAAGTTACGAAAGTTCAATTAATTTATGGTACTTTTTCTAATTTGATTAAACAGAACTTTCAGAAATGGCTGCAAATTTGTTCTTTAATATGTTCATATGCAAAAGTCCTTATACTATTTTGTTAATATTTGAATAGGTACATTTTATTTGAAACTCATGGAGTGTATATTAAGAAAGCATGTTGGTGTGTTTTGATCAAATAAACTTTCAGTACAATTATGAAAACTAAACGTATCATCAGTTAAGAATGCTGAAACTTAAAAAAATCCTCTAAATAAACACACACAACAAAAGCTTTAGGTACTTAAAAACAAGCTGTTTGTCCGAGCCAGCCAAGAGCTAATAGACACCTGCAGAAACTTACGATTTCACCTCAGATGTTTAGCTTGGAATTTCTTCCATTCATTTCCAGGCATTGCTTCAACTCACAAGGAGAGTTCCAATGAACTGCTGAATGCTGTTAGAATGCCTCTGATCATTGGACCCTCAAATGCACAAGGTAAGAAAAAAATGTTTAAGGAAAATTTACCTTGAAAATGTAATTGTGTTTGAAAGTTTTAATTTCGGTCATAAATCAGTAAATTACTACAGTGCAGACATGAAGTTCCGATTATTCAAAAAGACCTTAACTATTCCGTGTTTGAGTATTGTTATTTAATATCAAATACTTATTGTTTTCACTTTACCTTTGTAAGTTTAAGAATCCGAAATTGTAGTTACAAAATTACTCAAAAGAAGATTGTACTACACATTTTTTATGGTGATATGAAAAAAATATTGGCAGAACAACTCTCACTATTATACTTTATTTATATTATACTATATTTTTTTAAATTAATTAATTTATTAATTAATTTTTTTTCTCCTCTGAGAAATCCAAAAAAGTATAAGAGAACAAATTCTTATGTAGGTGTACTGTTCCGAATTGTATTGTTCGTGCCAAATAGACATCCCAATAAGCCACAATAATAAAATGATCACACATCTTCAAACTTTACTTATGTCATTTGCGAAGACGTGGATAATTCTTACAGGAGTTTAATTTAAAATTAATCCAGAAACGTAACTGGATATAATTTTTATTTAATACTGATTAATATTATTGTTTGTGCAATCACCAATTTTTTATAGTAGTTAGCAACTTGAAGTCTTAACCATATTGTATGTATGTACAGGTAAGCATACTGCACAAGCAGATTGCAATATTTGGTGGTGTAGGGTCAAATTAATCCCAGGCCTGTGTATATTTTTGTTTTTATTTATTATCCACACCTGGGGGTAAGGGAGACATGTGGCAAGCATTGCATATTCCCATCACCTTACTTAGCTTATGTGACCTGCCTTAGCTTTCATCAAACAGCTATAGAAACAGAGACAATTTGTATTAGAAAGCTACAGCTACATTTTTGTTCTGGCTGGAAATCGAACCAGGAACCACTTCACAGGAAGTTAGCACACAGTCCATGAGCCAATTGAAAGTAAAAAGCATTACATCTTCTATAAACCTATGAAACCATTATATTTTTACAATGTAATGTCCATATTTCACAATAAAAATGTAATGTAAATTTACTTCCAATGATGTAGGCTGAAGTCATCAGATTGCTTTATAGCATTAATTACTTGTGTATGAGAAAATTGGTGCAGAAATTTCTGTTTTATCAAGGTCCAAGATTAAAAATTACTTTCTATATACATTAATGTATTTAGCTAGAAGTGTGGGAATTTTGCATAAGAATGGGAATGTTGTTTCTTTCATTTTACATTGTAATATTGTTTGTTTGAATATTGGTTTCTACTGCTTCTGGCTGTAATATCCATGTGACCAGAATATCTCAAGTGTACTTATGTATTTTAATACCTGTACATTCAAAATGAACATTCAAAAAATACGTGCAAAAAGCTGCATGAAAGCGGGTTGAATTTTTGAAGAATTCTGAATGCCTAGCTTAATAAACTTGGCTCAGTGTTCAATTTATTCATATGAATATTCAGTTTGAAGTTTGATCTAATTAAGATTCCCAGGCATTTTGTTATATTAACATCAACTAATTGCATATTAGTTATTTTTGATTTCACTAAATTTTACTAGATATATTCGGTCTTGTGTTTTTGCTTTTCTACTTTATGTTGTTAAGGAGGGAAAATTTTACGAATTCATTTTGAAACTAGAGCCTGAAGAATGAATAATCCATAGCACAAAAAAGAGAATTTGACTTACATTGTCATATGTACCTAGTCTATAATACATTGTACATTAGGGCTAACTCTCCTAATTTCGGGTTAGTGGTTTCATTTGGACCATCTGCACAGGGAGCCTCACAGCTATGCCACTGTTAGTAAATGTTCTTTTGTGCCAGTATTCGGTACTTCCAATCTTTGCTGTCGCACTGAAAAACTAGTGGTTCTACCAAAGCATATAGTTTCTCGCAATGTTTTCAAAGGTTACGCATTAATATATTGGACAATTGATTTGATGTGACTAACGTTTCACAATGAAAACAAGAGAGCTTTCAACTTGTTTAAAATTTCAAAATACGAAAATGACATGCAGACACATCCAGTTTATTTAGAATCGTAATAAATTGTATATGTGAGTGCGAGTAGAATTGCTTTAAATTATTTCCAATAAAGTTCCTGAAATTCTCTAACATTTTCTGCGGCAACAGAGTTGTGACAAATTCCCGAGCCAATATCGAACCAGCCGCCCTTTCCACCGAAACCCCGAGTCCGAACCCGACATTTAACCACTTCGGCCACCGGGGTTATACAGAGAATTCGCATTTCTATAATATTAATAAACGCTGAAAGATAACTATTGATTTGATAGTTCATACGTTTTAAAAATCCAATGAGAGACGTGAAAAATATTTTAAAAATTGAAAATTTAAAATTTGCATACTGACACTTCCTGCTTATTTTATCTTGATGCTTATGTGCGATTAGAATTGCTTCAAATGGTTTTCAATAAAGTTTATGGAATTCTCAATTATTTCCTGCAGCAGCAGAAAATTTTTACTAATAATATTCTCTGACCGAGACTTGAACTAGCGAACTTTCCCTCCTAAGAGCTGAGTCCGTAAACACCAATTAACCATCTCAGTCACCCTAGTAATACACGACTTATACACATTTATAATAGTAATAAGCGTATGGTGGTTTCAGTTCTAACATTAGAAAGCCGAAAAATCGAGAAAATATGAAAAAAGGGCCCCGTGGGCGACCAAAGAAGGTATCTGGGAAGAGAAAGTTACAACTAAAATCCTAGTTCAGGCTAAAGAGACTAGAAATCCAAATTCTGCGAGAAAATCTGTGCCATTTTATAACACCAGTTTTTGTTGTTTTTTTATTTATTTAAATAGCTAATTTTGTAAAGCAAACTTTTTCTCGGGCAAAAATATCTTCAATTTTCTAGTTTTGAATTATTTTGCAATTTTTGAAAGAAAAAACTAGTAATACCCGAAAATGGGAATAGCACCATATTTCATACCGTTCACATTTTACAAAAAATTTTGTAACTTTTATAGTTCAGTCGGGTCGCTGGTTCATTCTTATCTATTAAAGGCTATCTATGTATCTAGGTTATCTATTAAATCATTTCGTTAATTGGGCAAAAATTAATTTATTCCTTACAACATTAGCTGCCAGGGAAGTTACACGTCGCAAGAGAGCAACAAAGACTGCCTACCAACTTAACGCAATGAGCTCATGGTTCTAATAGCTAGGAAGAAACATCTTAACCCTAATAAAGTAATAAAAAACTGCCTGAGTGCGGACGCTGAAACTGTCGCCGGAATACCCAGCGATGTAAACCCGTGACGTAATCAGGGAAGAGAGTTCATCTCCGGTTAAATACCGGAGTGTCACCGCTGGTTGTCGGCGCCTGCGCAGACCGGCTGGATGGCTGTCCTCGTCTCGTGATTCGCCTTCGCTCTGGCAACGTGGTTTGGCGACGGTGGGTCGGTGGTCAGGTCACCGACTCCACAATCGGTGCTCCTCAGCTGATGGCGGGCTCAAAGTCAGCTCGAGGAGACACGGGCGCCGGGCGGGCGTAATGCGGGTTCAGAATGGGCCCGAGGCGGCACTATGCAGTGAACGCAAATTGACGCGTAGTCTGCGCGTGTCTTTGGTTCGGTTAAAAAAGCCGCACTCTGTGGCAACGTTCAGCCCTACGAGCCGAAATTAATAATGTTCCTCACTCCGAGCCTTATCTTAGAGCCACGTCTTTTCTCCTACAATTTCTGCCTAATAATGTTTTTCTCTACTCGCCTCCCGGCCGAGCTCGCCTCCGTTTGCCCCTCCCGAAAACGTCTCAAGACCCGTAGCTTTGCCCGTTCCCTCACGCGGAGATGTCTCATAGGCCGAATCTATTTGCGTCGCAATTTTTTGTCACCCAATCGGGTCGCACTGTTCCTGGAATTTTCCAGGGCTGTCTCTCTCTCTCTCTCTCTCTCTCTCTCTCACGCACACACACACCACACACGCCCTTATAAGCTGGTGACGGCCAGACTCAGGGGTAGTTTCAGGCGACCACCCACTTGCCCGGTTTTCTTGGGAAAAGTTGTAGCTACCTTGTTTCCTCGCCAGGTAGATATGTTACAACCGAAGGATCGTCTGAAGATCTAAGCGAGGTTCCGGCAAGTCACGTTGGATGAACTTTCCAGAGCTTGCGGCAAGGTCCAAGATTGCAAAGCCCCCGGATTAGATGGGGTACCAAATGTAGCAATTAAGACCGCTATTAAGACTCCGCCCGATCTATTCTTGCAGGCTTATAATGCATGCATACGAGAGGGGAATTTCATCCGTCGATGGAAGCACAACAGCTAGTCCTACCGGAAGGGCCGATAAGGCACCTACTGATCCGGCAGCCTATCGGCCAAATATGCTTACTGAACACAGCAGGCAAAGTGTTGGAGCGGATTATCTGCAATCGTATTGAGTCATTTACAGAAGGGCCTCAAGGATTGTCTGATAATCAGTACGGCTTTAGAAAAGCGAGATCCACGGTAGATGCTATTAAGGTTAGTCATCGACATCGCACGCAAGAGCCATTGAAGGCAAACGATGGAAAGGCGGGTCCTATTGAAGTATTGTGCTATAGTGACCCTAGACGTGAAAAACGCCTTTAACACTGCAAGGTGGAGCTCCATTCTTTCTGCGCTACAAACTCTTGGAGTTCCAAGGTACATCTCGAATTTGGTAAAAAAAATTACTTTAAGGAGAGAATCCTCCTATATGAAACTGGGTCTGGAGTACATTTCTTTATATGGTCACAGGCGGTGTCCCACAAGGCTCGGTACTTGGTCCGATGTTGTGGAACATTATGTATGACGCCCGTATTGAAGCTCGAGTTGCCGGAAGGCGCCAAGAACGCATTGGATTCGCTGAACGATGTTGGCAATTGTCGTTGCGGCAAAATACATCGAAAACAAGTCCACGCAGGTTGCCAACGAGGCTTGGCGGAGATCGGCGGTGGCTGTACGTCGGTAGGGGCTACAG